GGGATAGTTCTAGAAACAAGAGGGCGTGAGAATTGTCACGTGATCTCGATGACGCAACATGTCTTCGTATGATATAGCATGAATACCTGATTCATTCTCCATCTGTTTCAGGTATGTGACAGTTGAATGGATATGTCACTGAAGCACCTTGTGTATATGTGACTTGTGTTATTTTTCAGATGGAGATCCTATTGGTTATGTTGCATACTTTTGCCTGGGGTATGTGGACAGCTTTTATGACTTACCTTTGTATTTGTGGATTATCATCTGTTATAAGACACCACACTTTATTTATCACAGCTGGGGTAAGATTTGTTGCAGTTTTTTTCTGGATGATCTTGGTGCTCCAAGTTCATCCTTATTCCTTTTCTATGCCATTAAATACAAGACATATCCCAGTCATGGAAATTCTAAATTTGTGATCTGAATGTATCTTTATGGTCTGTCTGTATGAATATTTGGTATCAGAAAGGGCTGTTATATGCATTTCACAAATGCAGTCAACATAAAAAGAGCCAAACAATGTTCAAATGTAGTTCTGATAGATTTTGTTCCACTATGACTCTATACTGGTTGTGATTGTCACATAACTTCCTTATTTGCAAATTCAAAATTATTTCACTATAACATACTCAACCTTCTGTGTAACTCAATTTCAGAAACATAAAACTTAATAATTCACTGGTATATTCTATAAAATGTTAAAACTTTTAAACACAACACTCAACCATTAACTTAACATGAAAAGTGCTAATTTTATCATATTATTCTTAATATATTACAAATCTGAAATCACAAATGAGATTAAAAACAACAGCAGTAAAATAAGGACATTAAAAATTGAAGTAAAGAATAATATAAACAGGATTTAATCCAGATTTAAAAACAAATGTACAATTAATATAAAATATCTATTTACCAATACAACTTTTCCCATCAGGTCCATCCATAAGTCCCTCAGTGCATATACACAGATAAGAACCTGGTAAGTTAGTGCACTTTCCTCCGCTACAGACACGTGGCCTTTCACGACACTCATCTATATCTATACTCAAAAAAAAACAGCAATATTGTAACATTTCCTAGTTTATTGTGCTTCAAACTTGCTATGACAAAAAATAATGTTACTTTATATTAGATAATCAAAATCTAATAAAAGATGTTAATATCTGAAAGATTCGTTTGGCCCAAAATACATCCTTTTTCTAATGTAATGTTTATTTCAGAAATGAAAAACACTGAGAAAATTTAAAACTTCCATCTAGTAAGAATAAAAAAAAGATTCAATTTAGAAGCACAGCAACAAGATATTGTTTACACTCATATACTTCACCTCCACATGATTTTTGGTCTTCAAGTATTCTATAACCAGGATCACAGGCACATGAGTAGCTACCTTGAGTATTAACACATTTAGACTGACAATTTCCATTATTGAAAGCACACTCATCAGTATCTGAAATACCCAAAACAATAACAAGTTGATACCCAAATGGTACAATAAATAAACGTATGTATAAACCTATGCACTATATAAGTGTCAGTTTTCTTATTTATATTTCCATAAATTTAAATAACAAAGTCCTAGACTTTAATACAAATCTCTATTAACTACGTTATATAAATTAACCACTTCTTATATGTTCATGTATAAAAATAAGTTAAAATGTACAACTAAAACCAGAAGTAACTTTCCAGTGAACACATAATGTATACCATGAAAACATAATGTGTATCCTTCTCTTAAAATACTACGAAGTTTCTCATCTGTGTAAATCATTAAGCCATTTTTCAGGCTAGAATTAAATTAAAACTATCTTCATAACAACTAGAAGGAAAATATAATGAAAATATTGAGTATTCATTCTACCTAGAATTTAAAGATTATACTTTCTTTATAACTTCAACTCATTTCTGTAAAAGAATAAAACAAATTTAAAAAATCTTAAGTCTTGCTAAAAGTCAAAATCTAGCAATTAGTAGATGCTAATCACATAAACAACTAAGCTGAAGAAAACTGAAAAACAAGAAAAAAGTTAAAGTAACAAAATTTGCTTTTCATATTTCAAACTAAAACAAAGGAGGTACACACCTTCACAGCTGGTCAGTTGTAAAGTTTGTTCATATCCTTCATTACAAATACATTGGTAGGTTCCCATCATGTTTTCACAAACTCCATTTGAACAAATGCCACTACTCCTACTGCACTCATCAATATCTATGTCATTAATTAAGTGAAGAGATAATGAAAAAATTAAGTAAATATACAAGATACTCTATATCATCTGATTTTGATAGTTTTACATGCCAAGAATTCTCATGCTAAGCACTTTTTTTGACAACATACATATATATGTGCAATAGAAATCATTGACATACATCAAACAAAAAAAATGCTACAATCGATATGATTTTAACGTTATAAATAGAATATGAAATGTAAGATCATGCAGATTTTACTATTTCCAAAAAAAGTGTATGAAATCTTAAACTTAAATTTGTCATGAAAATTTAATATCTAAAATACAAATATTTTATGGTAACTGTTTTCTGAAAGAAAAAAGTAAAATGATTAGCATAAACAAGCTTTATAAGTTACCAAGTAAAACTAAAAGGACCTCTAGTAATACAAAGACATGAGTATGTTAATACATGCTATGACAAAAAGTATTTACCAAAACAATGAAAGACAAGTCAAAGTAGGTTAAAAAAAATTCAATGATACAAAGATAATCAACTGATTATCATAAAAATTACATATAGTTTTTGCATGAAAATAACTAAGCAAGTTTACCTTTACAATATCTTCCATTTGGACCCAGTTCATGGCCTGGTGGACAATCACAAGAGAAAGAGCCTTGGGTATTAATGCATCTTCCTCCTCGGCAGAGTCCTCTGCTTCTACTGCACTCATCAATATCTAAAATAAATACAGAACAATTCAGCTTAAACTTCTTCCATAAATCAAAATTATTATTCTAACATATTATGAGTGACCATTTATATATTAATGAACGTTTTATGTATAAAATGAAACTCAAGCCAATTAAGCTTAGCTTAATTTTACTCAACCCATAATGCACTTTTTTAGTTATAGTCCTATAAAATTCAAATAGATATTGAGAATGATCAGATTTGGACAGAAGCCTCATAGTTCGTAGCATTGAAAAAAAACCTCTGAAGTGCAAGTCTGTTCTTGCTATAGAGTAGATCCTAAGATTGACAATTAGGTTTATTATTTTGGCTTTAAGTATGAAAACAATACACATAAATTTACTGCACAACTCAATTCAAAAAATGTTCAATGACACAAACTACTAAGCATTGTGGCAACTAGATTCAAAAAACATAGCTGTTTTATGGATCATGGAATTAAAAAGACATACAGGGAAGAATACTTTGATGTTATATATATATAAATTGTAAACATTTATTGATCCTAATTATATTTTGAAAAAAACAACAACACTTAATACAACTTTAAATAATGCTTAGATAAATTTCAACCAGTTTTATTTTGATTTATTGGTTTTTGAAAATGTCAAAGTTTAAAATAAACATTGAATTTCCTATCACACTAAATTTCACCCTTAGTTTCCAATAGTACAATGACATGAGTTTGAATTTACAAAAAAAAATAATTATTGGTCAATAGAGTTAAAACTCTTGATACCTGTTCTCTAAATACAGAACCAAAACCTAAAGATCATCAACTAAGAAATTCAATAAATATTCTATTTGTTATCATGTACTTTTCATAAATTGTTCACAAAGGGAGAAAAGGTGATTAAGACAGAGCTAATTGGTCATTTTTTGATAACAATATGTAAATATTTTACGCTCAATTAAAAACTTTTGTATCTGATTCCAACCTACCCATACACATCTGCATCATCATGGCATTTTCATACCCTTCATGACAGTCACATGTAAATGAACCAGCTGTATTCCTACATGTTCCATTTCCACAAACATCAAAGGCAATAGAACATTCGTCAATATCTGAAAATGCACAGGAATGAGGAATCTTATATCAAATTGAATACCTAAACTCTTAAGACAGTTATACAGGAAGATGAGAAGAAGAAAGAGACAAATTATGATGGTTTGATAAGTTTAGATAGAAAGTAAACGTCTGAAAACTTTTTTTTTCTGGTTTTAATCTTCCTGAAAGACATTTAAAAGTTTATGTATTTACTATTTGGAAATATTCAGTTGGTAGAAATATGAACATAAGTTCACATTATAGACAGAATTTTGTAACTGAAGTTTTTACATAAGTCATTGTAATTATTCACCATACTTTTCACAACTTTATCCTACAAGACCAAAGAAGTAGAAGATGACAATAAAATATATTTAGTTTGTTATCATCTGTATGAATGCTGTAAATAAAATATTAGTATGAATGATATCTATCCAAATATTTATACATGCTAATTTTTATGCACAATATTTGTGTTTACAGGCTAAGGAAAGCAAAGTAATAGCTTTTTTATTTGGCATCTTTGCATTCGGAAAGCTCTTGTAACTGGAAATTTCAATATCTCCAAATGTAAATGCTTATTGTAGGAACCAGTATTCATTACTATTTGATCCAAAATGTCTCGGAACACTCTCAAAGCTTCTCAAAAGTTTGTGATTGTAGTCATCTGATGCTACCACTTAGTGGCAATGCTGTAGCTTTGTTTATTTCTTTCCTGCCACCTGTAATATAATTAACATTATACTTACTTTATTTGTAAACATTGTCTACATCCTGAAGTTATGCTTTCTAATTCCAGCAGAAAATCAATGTTTTTATACAGTTTAAAGGTTTTTACAACATTTATTATTGTTTAAAGATGATGTAGAAATACTGTAGTTTAGAAAATTCAAAATGTACAAAACTTTTCCTGGAAAATATTGTAAGTGAAGTAGTTTTATAACTGGAATTTTCACCTATCTAGCACTACCCAAGTCCAGCAGATGTCAGATAATATAGCTTTTGTTGCACAATTAAATCTGTGTAAAGTGCATTAATCAAATCTTCAAAGTAAATGGCCTTCTGTTTTAGAGAAAATTTCGAAATATATTTCATATGAAGATAATCATGTCTTTAAATTTCTCTGAATGAAAGAAATGGATTTCATTATATTAGGCAACAAAATATACTTATATCACATATGGAAATTTAATCCTTCCATGGTTCTTTGAGTCAACAATTGAGGAAATCTGTGGATGATAGCCTGTGCATTATAAATTTACTATTAGTATGAAATGCCTGAAAAACACCAATGCTACATCAACAATAAATATGTTTCATAATTGTTTTAAAAAAAAACAGAAATGAAAAGCATCTTCAAACTATGTTGCATATCACAATATTTTTCTTATATTTTTGTGTCATGAGTTTAGTAAAATCTTAATAAGTTGTCAGTTCATAATCTCAGAAATAAATTAAAAAATTAACATCCCCATACAATTCACAGTATCACACCCTCAGAGTCCAAAACAACTGTGGGTTACAATGGCTTCATAAATGCATCTCACCTGTACAGTTCACAATATGAGAGTCCAAACCAAATCCTGAGTTACAATGCCAACATAATTAATCTCACCTGTACAGTTCACCCCATCAGAGTCCAAGGCAAATCCTGGGTTACAATGGCAAGAGAAACTGCCAATTGTGTTTTGACATCTTCCATTTTGACAAATATTTGGATATTCAACACATTCATTGATGTCTACAAAAACAATACATGTCACTTAGTATAAATGAAAATATATCAATGAAAAATATTTCTTGTGACTAAAAACAGTGTGAAAGTGGTGGACAATAATAATTTTTGCAGATGCATAGTTTCATATTTCAGTTGTGAAAGTAAATTAAAACAGTATACATAAATAACAGCTACAAAGATTACAAATGAACCAAGTTTAGTATAAAAAAGTATATAAAAACAACTATAATAATGTCTATTATTATTATTATAATAAACACGATCAGTCTTTAGGTACCCGTATAGCTGCAGATAAAATTTGAATAATTTTAGAGAAAATAAAATTGAGCATGAATAAAATATTTTGTAATTGAAAACCACAACAACAAAATGTATCTTAAGTACTATAAATACTAATAAACTAAATGTACAGAAATAAAAAGAAAAAGGTAACTGCTGAAAGTAGCACAGATAAAATTTTGTTCTGATAATTTTTATCATTGGTAGTTACTGAAAAGTGTTTATGCAAGGTAAAGCTCATGAAATTAAGGAATATAATTCAGAACTGAAATCTTACCATAACTGTTGAAGAAAAAAATATCAAACAATTAAACGTCTTTTGTAAAAAAACAAGATAAAAACTGATTCATTACAAAAAAATGAAAAGATAAACTTTAGTGTAAAATAAAGTTTTTAGAAAACTTCATTACAAATTTTTGACTCAACAGATGCAACAAAACAAATTTCCCTTATTTAATTATAATTAATTAAAGTAACTGCTCCTATGAGTTTAAAATGTTCTTGATTAAGTCATTTATTAAAACATTATATCAAGACACATGATGGCATGTTGCACAGTCAAAATAACCTGTAGAACACACTATGTGTTATTAACAGGACTGACAGCTTAACACTTTTCCACTATCTGTAGCTCAAACTGTGGTAATACAAGCTATCCCATATTTTCTGTAAATATGCTATACTGGATCCTTACTTCACATACTAAATTTCAAGGCATTCTATTAAGAAATACACGAGATATGAAATCTCCAATTTTGATTGAATTTCTTCCTCATTTTTCAATTTGCACCTAAATTTTCAAAAACTTAATTTATAGAAAAACATACTTAATTTTCATGGATTGTTTTCAAATTTAGTATATCAATAGATCTTTATAATATATAATTAGGTGTCAAATTTGATCTAAATATAATCCTCATGTGCAAATTTATTCAACAAAAACTGCTCAGTTTTAACCAAAATCTTTGCTCACACCTATGAAAAAAGTCACATGAACTACAAATCTAAAATTTTTACTACAGCTTCAACTAAGAGTAAGGGTGGAACATTTTTTTTTTTTCATTTGGATTAAAGATGGTTGACTTAGAGCAGCAAACTATAGGTTGAAAACATGTGCAGATATAGGTCAAGCTAACTAGATTAGCACTTTCTAGCTCAAGTTTTCAAATGAATCATACCATTATTTCTTGCTAACTTTTAAGCACAAATTTGCTAAATTTTATGAAATTATCCTAATAAATAATGTTTAGCATCATGTGATATTACCTTAAGCAATTGGTGCAAATAATGATGCTTGATACAGCTGTACCAAGTTCATGCAGGTAATGATAAGAAACTTTTAATTTAGTTTCTATGGTGATACTATAAAAGAAGTTATTAACACTGTTTTAGAGAAAAAAATTACAATCATATATTTTAAAGAATCTGGTTGGTTCTGTAAAGTATAGGTCTGTTCCAAATAATAGGTTTGCAATCCTAAAGCTAATGTTGGTTACTATTGAGTGTCACATTCTTACTTGCTGTGGTTTGTATTGACAAAAAGTCATATCTAATCAAAAACGCCTTAGGTGTGAAAAAAAAAGGTGTGGATAAGAAAAAATTGAGCATGTGACTTAAAGGAATGAAATCAAATTTGGTGGTCAAACTGGAAGCTATACTTATAGAATTGTATAAGAATTTTACAATGAATATTCGTTCATTAGTTAGCCAGGCCACATATTTTGTTTTACCCACTCTCATGCTCTAAGTTGAACAAAATACACGACCCAGCTAACTAATTCTTATCAATGCTATAAGCGTAGCTACCAGTTTGGCCACCACTTTTGATTTTATTCCTTTAAGTTGCACTCTCAATCTTTTTTTTTTTTGGCTGCATCGTTTTTCACACCTAAGGTGTTTTTTGATTAGATATGTATTACTATTTAAATATATTTAGTATTTCTCCTAAAAAAACTAAGATTATAATCAAAACAAGGTGTTTTCAAAGAAACAACCTCATAACTAACTAGGCTTAACATTTCACTTCCAATAAAATTTCAATGTATTTCCCAAATACATTAAGTATTCATTCCTTGCTTTTTATAAATCAATAATTATTGTTTATTTTCTGTTCAATTTTGGCAATGATATCACTTAAATACAACTTTAAAACTGTAATATGAAAATCAAAATAAAACTTCAAGTTACCTCTCTATGTTTATCAATATCCTCTGATATTTTGAAATAACTGTCACTTATATTTTCACAATCTTAAAAAACTCAAAAATAGTCAGTTACTAATAAATGATAATTATGAAAAAAAACAAACTTACCTATGATAAAACCAATTTCTTCTCTTACTTCATCAAAGGAATAGCCTATTCCCTTTAAGCATAGTTCTCTAAATGGTTCTATAGAAATAAACACAAACAAACTTTATTTAAAAAACATTGCATATATTACTGGAGCATAAAATATTTTACTTATACTAGTTTTAAAGTTAGGTTTTTTTCTTTGTATATAGATTAATTTAAAATATAACTTACACATATCATCAAAAAATGATTTTGTAACTAACATATTTTCTACAAACTACTTTTAAAGTAAAATAATTTCTAAACTAAAAAAATCAGTTATTCACATGTATATCAACATTTCTCAATGAGCTTTATGTCTGCTTAATTTCACATTTTGTCTACATTTCCCTGAGAAGTTTCCATAAGATATTCTGTTATTTTTTAATTTTACAAATCACCTAGTATTAGTACTGTTTTTATAATGAAGAAGAATAGAATATTGATGAGTTTATATTTTTTATAGAGAATATTGTTATAAACATGATTTATATGTTCAAATATATTAAATATATTGCTATATTTATAAAAAATTAAATCAACATTTCAAATTTAAATTATTTTCTGCAAAAGCCTTTATTGTGGTTATTTAAAACCCACAAAAAGTAACCACAATTATTAAAAGCAATTACATCATCGATTTCAATATCAACATTCTAAGAAATTAATCAAAGATTTTTTCACACAACAATCATAACTAAATAGTTGACTACATTCAAACTATAAGAAGTTAACTAAAAGGTAAGATTATTGTAATAAACTTTTAATATAAAGTTAAATTTAAACAACAGAAATATAAAACCATATACATCTTGTTAATCTGAATTATGCACATATTTTAAATGATAATTAACAATCAAACATTGCTTCTACATATTTTAATACAAATTTTATATTTTGTAACACTGCTTTCATATAATTTTTTGAATACATGTTACATTGTAAACATCAAGAGAAAGTTTGAAACAAATAACTGGGCACATAGAACTCTCTATATTTTGATATTTTGTAAATAATTACAATAAAAATTACAGTTTTTCTTCATTTCCTTATCAAACAAGATATGAAGCACATGTTAATATAAAGGTACAGATTGCCTCACTCTTAGAAAATTATGTAGCATTCAAAATGTTTATATAATTTATGAGTCACACAAAACTCCCTATATACTCTATGTTGACACTTTCCAATGTTATACAGCACCTAGTATAACCCTTACCTGTTCCATGTCTAGGGCAGGGTTCACAACTATGACCCCAAGCTTGACCCAAAGAACAACAACACATCATCTTTTTATATAATCCTTCAAAAGGCTTTAGACATCGTCCTTTTGAATATGAAGCAAAACAAGTTTCTTCCCTCAAATCTAATGGAAATTAAAAATAGTGTAATATTTATTTAGCATATTTTAATTCAAGGCAGATGACATTAGATTAAGAAGAAGCAGAATTTCCATGTATTTCTTAACTACATACGAAAGCCTGGATATGAAAAAATTAGTGTTTTATTAAGCTTAATTTCTCTTTTTAACATGAAACTTGACCATAACATCATCATCATATACTGTTCAGGTTAACATTACTTGTTCAGAACAAAGATCTTCATACAACACTTCAAATGAAAGTTAAAAACACTTTGAAGGAAACACAAAACATTTATACCCTGTGTCAGGTTTTTGATATGTGAATAGGGACCAGGATTCTTTAAGACTAGATGTCTATGACTTGTTGGGGGATAAATTCGAACAATAAATGGACAGCACACGATCCACTTGTTTTAAAATAACATATTCAAAACAAGTCAAATGTATGTAAAAAAATTCTTTACACTGTAGGATATCACAGTTGTATCTAAAACTCTAAATAATTTTATTTTCTTGACAAAAGTTCACACAGGCTGGTTCAGTTACCTTAGAACCCAATTGACAAGACAAATTATTTTCTCTACTCTGTTTCTTACTGTACAATCTGCAATAACTTCACTTATGGTACTCTATGGGTTACCACAGTTGTATCTTGAACTTTAAATAATTGTCTCCTTTTCATCACAGTACACACAAATGAGTTCAATTACTTTAGAACACCATTTGACAAGACAAATTATTCTCCTTATCTCTGTTAAGCTGTAAAACTCACTTTTAAATATAGCCCATTATGGCTAAACTGACAATCACGCAGTCTAATTTCACTTTCACTAACTTAACCTTTTATGACTTCCATTACATAACTTTTGTTGGTTACCACAGTTGTATCCAGAGCTTTAAATAATTGTCTCTCTCTTTTTTCATTATTTTTCCATCAAGAGTCTACACAGGCTGGTTTAGTTACTTTAGAACCCAATTGACAAGAAAAATTATTTTTCCTTTCTCTGTTGTTACAATACAGCTATGAAACACACTATAGAAATCACCCATTGAGGCTAATCACTCAGATGTTGACTAGCTTCCAGTTTTCTCCAATTAACTAAATTTTTTCTGACTGGACTTTTTCTTGAGTTGCACTCACTTGGTTGCTTATATTTTTACATTTTCCAACTGAGGCCCTAGAACTTTCTACAAACTAGGAGATGCTACGACGTAACAGTACTCACATAGCAAGAAAACTTACAGGTTTTGAGAAAGATAACATGAACAACACTACAACAATTGAACTACACACACAATGTAAGACTCTTGCTGAGTTATGTTACAAAATTTGTCATAACTATCACCTTCAAAATAATTACTTTTAACTCTTGTTATGAAAACTAAATAATCATTAAATATTAAATCACTAAATAATAACTCTTACATTAAACAGTCTTGTATATGCAACACACTGGCAAATCATGGACTTAGTTAAATATATTAGAAACTATTTAACCTTCTATTTCACATTAACCAACTCACCTACGCATTTTGTTCCACTCGAGTCAAGTGTTAGACCTGGGGGACAATTGCACTTGTAGGACCCTGCAGAATTAACACATAGTCCACCACCCGAACAGATGTTTGGGAAGAGTTCACATTCATTGATGTCTATGTATGGGAATATAAAAATAGATCAGTGGTAGAGAAGTACAAGCATTTGTAATTTGATAATGTACAATGTAACTTACCTTTCAAAGAATAAAATTAATGCATTTGCGTGCAAACAGAATTTCTGAATGTAAAATAATCTATCTTCATTTAGAGTATATTACAGTTATTTCATTAAATAATAACAGATCATAAACCACCAAAGTGCCTACTTTTATTTTTCATATCCATACTAATCCACCTTCTCTTGTAGGACCACTTAGCTTTACTATAGTCATCACTTCTTATTCTCATCACTGACTCAATTTTAGAAATAAAATGTGTGCCATACTAAAACATTGAATATCTTGTAGTTATAAAGCAATAATTTCCATGGTATAATACACTATATAAAAAAACAAGAAAAAACAGAATCAGATATTATGAAAATAAATTCATCTAACACTAAATACTTTGATTCAGAATAGATCAAACAAAAATATTTCTAACTTATATGTAATAGAAATATTAAAAAGCAGAAAAATACAAAGATTTAACACCATTTTCCCATTTTTTTCGTTAATAATATAATAAAAATTAAATAAATCTCTTCTGAAATTTTAAATATAAAGAAATCTTTGTTGTTACCTGTGCATGTTGTTCCATCCAGCATGGCAAATCCTTTATTGCATCTCAAGTCTGTTCAAATGCAAAAGTATAAATAATTGTACATGTTTTTAAATTGTTCTGTTCTTGCTATTCAAATATTATTCAAAACGAACAAAGAAATCTATCAAAAGTTGTTGAAATGTAAAAGGCTTTAAAGGTAATTAAGTAAAGAATCAGAATCATCCATCTTTCCAAATTTAAATTATTACTCATGTATGTGTTAAATTTCCAGTTTCCTAACAGTAAAACAAATTTGCTTATTTCAATTTTGAACAAAGTATACTCCCCAAAACAACTAAGGAACAACCAGAGTTTTTATTATTCTAGTTACGACAAAATACAACTACTGTTATGAAATAATTTCACTGGCATCCTTAAGTATATTTTATGCAACAGAAGTGTTAGGTGATCTGTGATATGATTAGGTAGCTGATCATAATGTTGACAATGTATGGATATTAGATTGTGATGATCTGCCAAACACTTAGTGTTCAAATGATTGACAGAGAAAAACCATTTATGGAGACAAAAAGTAAATAATCTTTCCATATAAGAAAAGTCTAGTGTCACCCTAGAAAAGCTCTTAACAGAAATCTTGGTTTAGATATAAGTCCCATTTAGAGTGAAATATTTTATTTTTTTTAAATAGACACCTAATTTTTCGTCATTTAAC